CGTAGCGCTAACCCCGAACCCCCCGCCAGTCCCGTCGCGGGACCTTCGCGCCCCCGTCCCGATACACCCGTCGTCTTTCGCAAAGTCGATCCCGACTGGACACCAGACACCACTCAATGGACGTGGGACAGCTCCTGGCCGAATCAGAAGCACCTCTCTGGCGAAGAATGGATGAACGTAGGGAGGAACGCGCGTAAGGAGTGGTTCGACGAAGAAGAGGACGACGGCGTAGATTGGGAGTTGTATGGAGATGGTGAGCAGTAAGTAGTCGAATGGGACTTCGACTCTGGTAGGGGGGTAATGAAACATTTGTCTTTCCGTTCTATTCCTTGCACTACTAGCGCCCATACTGGCGCCTGTCTTAGCGCTCACCCGCAGGTTGAACATTATGTAGCTTACATAATGGGGTCCGTGCGCACTTCGTGCCTGGTATCATACCACTACGTTTCTTTCTTCACTAACACGACCACATAGACACGATGGTCCGTGCGTAGTCGGTACTTGTATAAGTAGTTGTACCATTAGTCGGTCGAACCCTAAGTTCGACCTGGTTATTCATTCAAGTCTCTGCTCCTCTTCGCTTGGGGTAGTGGTCATTCTCGACTTCCTCGCTCGATCTTCAGGACGACGCACTGTCCATAAGCCCTCGCTCGTCGTCTACGAGTCAGGCATCGATATAGGAGTGTAGACCGTTGTATCAGCCATGGCCCCATCCTGGGAATATTCTGTATTGGGAACATTTTGATCTTCCCCCTCCTAGACATATTCAACATGTCTGTGTTGAAAAGTCTGCTACACTACCCTGGATGACACATGCTTTCGAGATACAGTAACATACCCAGGCCATGGTTGTGTTATGCAGACAAAAACCCCTTCAAGCTGAGTTGACCAGACCACAATAGGTAATGTACTTCAATCCCCGTAAAACAGCACCTTGGAAAACACCACGGAGGTTGTTTCCTAAAGTACTCAAAATCAACCTGTAAGTGTTCATGAAGTTCGAGTATTCAAATAACGAGGTGCCACATAAACACATACAAATATGATCCTGCGGAAGCAATTAACGGGCATTTCCAGTGTTCCCACAATCTTCCTATCTCCTGAGAGCAGAGACAATTCCTTCAACCTGCGCAGGCTCCGGATATCCATGTCTGACATCTGCTATTCAAAGTAAACTACAATCTTCCACATACTATGATCAACATGCACCCTTGTGAGTATTTAACACATTTGCCTTTTGTCGAGAGCAATACTTTTTTATGATCAGTGGCTAGAGCAGGGATACAGCACTTCTTGATGACTGCATCACTTTGCTTGCATTGAAGTGATTGAGACAGGCGAGTCCCCATCACCCATGACTGTGCATAATGAGCTTTACTTCCCAGGGGGCAACTTTGATTGTCGTAGAGCTCCCTGAATCCAGGCCTATGTACTGCCGAACAGGAAGCTATGAATAAATAGTTACTTTTCTTGAAATCCTAACCCCTTGTTATTTTTGGTTTTTTTGGTGTAAGCTTGGGCCATTCACCACTGTCTTCATTTGTTGGCTTCCACTACCTGCGTAGTCTCCAATTATACAATGCCAGAACGAATTGCAGGCCTCGCTTATGCGGCCTCTTTCCATCAAGGTCAGGAAAGTCTGATACACAGCTCCAAAATAGCTTCTCCATTATGATTCTTCCCCTGAATCTAAAGTGGGAGCTATTACTGCTATGAGATGTTGCCCTCAGTGAATGGATGTGCTTCTATCTTGGGAATACAAGGTTACTCATGGCGAGAACAACATTCTCACACTGAATGCTCAGTTCATTGAGATCAAATGAAGATACATTCACGGAGAAATATCAAATGGTTCTGTGGCGCTTTGGGAACCAGGTCAGGGCATATATAAACTGAGTTGCATATGATATTAGATTAGCTCACAGCACACACAATCATGATGCCTAAGGTCCTCGCATCTATCAGAACATCTGATGTGGTGGTCATATTACTATCCCTCTTCACATGCTATCAGTGGACTTGATGGACTCACAGAAAGTACAAGGCATATCCACCTGGTCCAATGCCTATGCCATTCTTTGGGAATCTCCGTCAGCTGCCTTTCAAGGATCAGCACAAAACATTCTGATAGTGGGCACAAACATATGGTATGTGTTTGCATCGTGTCATGAGGGCTACCGTGTATTGATGCCATTCATTTCTCTGCCAGGGGAAATTATCTATACCCAACTATTCAGGAAGCCCATGATTCTTCTCAACTCGCTATGTGCAGTACAAGATCTCATGGAGAAGAAGGGCACAATCTACTCTAACAGGCCCGGTGATAGGCGCCGAGCCCCGCTGGGCCCCGATACACCTCTTTTCGGCACTCGCATCCCGCCCGGCACTTCGACTCAGTCTCCCAACAGTTCGATTTCGCCTTCGACGCCCTTCGACATCTTCGACGGTGCGCGACGCTTACTCGAAGCTCGGCACGGTCGTCCCGATGCCTCGCGCGTAGATCCCGGGACATCTTCCGCATTCGGCGAACAATAGGGCCACTTGACGCCGCTCGGCCAAGCGCGCGCTTCGCTCCAAGCCACACCGAAGTAGCCGGTGTTTCCCGATTAGGTATCGAACCTCGCGGCATGCCTTCAACGACGGATACCGGTCCGAAGTGGCCATATGTTTCTCTTCATCTCCGCGTTCGGCATGACGTCACTCTACCGATGGACTTGGTATGTGCCCCTCGGTGAGGCAGCTTCGTGAGGAACAATGCAAAGCCCCTTGTACTAGTGTGCCACTTTCGATAGTCGTAGCATCCTG